GGAAAGATGTCTTTTTCCACCCCAACAAAAAAAACACCCAAAAAACCGTAAAAAGAAGCCTTTTGGGGCGAGGGGGGGGGGGAAAAAGTTTCCCGGGGGAGGGGGGGTTTTTTTTTGGGGGGCAAAAAGCCCCGGGGGGGGGGGGGGGGGGGTTGGGCTAGGGCACTCCCAATGATAGCTGACATGTATACAGGGAAGCTCTGGCAGTTCTAAAGGGGTGCCTTTTTCAGATTTCAGGGCTAACAGAAGCATTTATGCCCGTGAGAAAGTCAAGAAGACGTTCTGATATTGTGATTTATTCATTATAGAAATTTTTTGAAAAGGTACATTTACAGCAGTTTAAAGGCATGCAAAATTCTAAACTACACTACTGTAGACTAGACATGTGAAAAGGGTACCTTTTCTCTCAAAACTGAAGTAAGGGGTCCCCCCGCCCCCCATGGGTGGAACCTTTCTGTATAACACTTTGTTTATAAGCACCTCTAAGGTGGTACTTTTTAATAGCAACCTTATCTATTGTTGATGATCTATTTTAACCATAAGTTAGTATGTCACTGTATGATTAACATGGAGTTAAAATTGTGCCAAAATAATTAATAATATCTTGTTTTCGTTTGAATAAATTAATTTTTAAAGATGATGATGATGATGATGAGCTTGGTGATGAAGATGCAGAAGAGGCAGAAGATGAACCTCCTGCAAAACGAACACGAAGTGGCTCCAGGTCTTCTTCAACCTCTTCTCCAGCCAAGAGGGGGAAACGAGGTCAGAAAAAGGGTGCAGCCACGCCCGTCAACGGTCCAGGTAGGAAGCGGAAAGCTGTTGAACCTAAAGAAAAGAAAGAACGGAAGAAAAAGGCATTGGTTGCAAAGAAGGATAAACCAAGAAGAGCTGGAGTGCTTATTCCAAATGAAAATATTAAACTGCTTGAAAAAGATCCAACATTTGAAACCAGGTCTGTTTTAATCCCTAGATATACATGTAGTTAGTGTCAGGCTTAGGGAGGTAATGTCTCTCTCATAAACCTTATGGACAGTTACTTTAATTGAAGGTTAATTACATAAGACCTCTATAAATGTTCCATTATAAATGTATGTATACCTTTTTAGCGAGGACATTCCATTGATGCCTGTAAAATGGGCAATCAAAGCAGTCTTAGTGAATGACATGGAGATGCTTAAAAGTGCAATTGAAAATAGACAAGAAGTGTTTACGGTAAGTGTGCAAACTTGTACGTTGAATTATTGCTGTAACATAAATTATAATAATTAATTAAAGTTTTTACGTAACTGGAAATGGGTTATTTGTCATAATTGTTTACCTGGGATCAGCGAATTCGAAGGTTGATATCATGTATTCATCAGGTCATTAAATGTTAATGCACGTTTAGGGTTGTTCAGCTCTGCAAATATTCTCCAAATAGCAGATGTCACCCTTCGAGTTGTCTTCTTGCTGTTCTTGCCATGTTTTTAGCTATTGTTTCACCTAGTTCTCACTCCTGAAACAAGTGAAATGTCCGCCATTTTTGTTTTCACAACCAAAACAACTCAGCCTCATCCCGAGGTCTTCTCGGTTAACAGTGCATTAACCTGCATGAAGGTTGCACTTTTGACGTCATCAGTTCATTAAACGCAAAATTCTTCCAAATTTGGTCATCAGTAGCTGGTTATGGTGAATTATGCGTGTGCTTTTAGCCAATCAGAATTGGGGAAATATTTTGAATGAATGATAATAACATTTATTGAACTTCATTTAATGAATGTTTTTGTAACAGGTTCATTGGCCTAGGAGCCCCGAAATCCAGCTTGCAGCAGTGCATTATGCCCTTCTAAATCAAAACCATGAAGCTCTGAAACTGCTACTTAAAGAACTTCACGAAGAAAAACCACCCGAGCTTAAACGCCATAACCAGCCAACAGTTTCCTTAAATCACATGGATACTGGAACGTAAATAAACAGTTTTTTGTCAACTCCCCATGCCCTGTATATCTTTAATTCAGCCACTACCAATAAAGGCCACCACAGGAAACTACATGTAGTACAGGCGCAGTGAGTCAGTTCTTTTACATGTAGTGCAGGAACCTGTATTGTCAAGACAGGAAACATCAAATTCAGTGGTTGACTGTTTTTTGTAAACATTATAGGTCAACTTTCTGAGGTGGAGTGTTCACAAATGACTAGGGTTCACCTCTTGCCCTTGCATGCATGTACAGTACTTATTTATCGGCTTGTGACAGCTCTTTTCTTTTTACTTTCTTCAATGAACAGTGCATACTGTGATTTTAATTCCTGTTTTACATTATTTTTATTATTGACATGATTATACATTTATTTACATGACAATTTTTTTTTGTGTTTTGCAGGTATAACTTTTACACCTTTGGTCATGCTGTACGAGAATTGTATTCAAGCAGAGGGTCCAGAGAGGGAAACAATGCTTTTCTTGAGGTAAGGATTATAGACCACTGCAATATTAATATTAACAAAATGTTTTGTGCCATAATAT